ATGTAAATTTGCATAGGTTTCAAGTTATAGCAAAAAAGAACTCACCTCACCATGGCAAATAAAAAAAAAAAAGAAAGTAAAAGATAGCCCATTAAAGATTGAGAATTTTTTTTTGTAGGTAAAAATGATGTATAAAAACACAAATAAACGTAGAAATATCATTCCTTCCCTCTCCACCTCAAATTCATAAAAGGCTTCCCCATAAATTAGTTAGAAGAAGCAATCTGAACTATTTATATGATGAGGAACTAAAAAAAGTCCAAAAACCAAATTTAAAAAAGTATATTCTTGAAAGCCCGAACACAGAAAAAAACGCGCTTCATTTGCAAATAAAATAAAATAATAATAATAATGATTTAGTCAACTTGGGGGTATGAAACAAAATAAAAAATAATTAGACAAAGAAAAAACACACTTCATAACTGACCATATAAGAAAAAAAAACTGAGACTCCATAATTAAAAAAAAAAAAACCACTCTAATTGAATGAAACATAAAAAAGATATTTAAAAAACAACAGTTTGTAACAAAAATCCAATTAATCAATTCAATCCAAACAGAACTAAAAACATACAAAAATTCTAGGCTAACTAACCATATAAGAAATCACATCATATTACCTGACAATGGCTACGGTAGCTGTACCGGATGGACGCATAAAAATAATAGTAATAACACTATTCTTGAGCGGAAAAAATAAAAAATAATAAAAGCCAAACAAATGATCTGTGAAAATTAAATCATTTAAATTTTAATACCTGTAATGGCACCACCACAACGGCCGAAGCAAGATCAATGAGAATTTTTTTTTTCCTTTGTGTTTATATAGAGAGGTAAAGAGAATATTTTTTGAAGTCGAAATTTTATCCAATTAGGAAGTAGTTGATCATTACTAATGAAAAGATTGAACATGCTAATAGGAAAGGAGTATATTTCACCACATATTCTCAATTGATGATTGATGAGAAATTTGCTTTCTTTTTTTTTTAATTGAGGAGAAGGGATTGATTAGGGAGTTGATTGTCATGGGGATGGGGATGAGGATTTGGGTTTTTTATGAACCCGTAGTTTTTTTTTGGCGAAAATAAGAAGTGGAGGTGGATTTGGACTGCATTTGCTTTTTAAGTCTAGGAGATGTGTAAATAAAAATTTATTTTAAAAATATGATGTGAAAATACCACATGGCAAATGGCAGTGCTTTCTTTTAAGTGTGGTTTTTGTTTCTAATATAGTAAGATATATATATATGTATATCCTACTATATTAGAAACAAAAACCTCCCTTTCAAACACCTCATATGATTGCCACGTGGCGTATAGAAAATACTAAATTGCCATTTTGTCTAACCATAACTAAATTACTAAATTTCCCTTTGCACTTTACGTGACACGTTTTTTTTTAATTTTATTTTTTCTTTATGTTTCATTCAACTAGAGTGGTTTTTTAAATTGAATTGATCAATTAGGTTTTTGTTACAAAGTGTCAACTTTGTTTTAAGCGTATACCCTTCGGATGAAACTTATTACAAAACTATTAAAATCACCAAAACTAAGTATTGATTTGGCACGACCAATGGATAACATCAATAAATCATCTTACTAATATTTAAATTTATTAGGATGCTTTTATATTTTATCTAACATTTACTTCAACACATTTATTCGATTAAGGCTATTTATATTTAATAAGTAACACTTATAAAACATTTCTCAAACATACATGGCGAAATACAATTTCTTTTTTTTTTGTGTGTGAAATACAAATATTTCTATGATCACACTTATAAAACATTTCTAAACCCTTCAAACATTTCTAAAATATATCGCTACAAATACAAAATTTTATTTTTTTTCAAATATAAATATTTCTAAGATCTACAAATAGACTGGGCCAGGGTCGCGCATTGCGCGACCAGACATCACTAGTATATATATATATATATATATATATATATATATATATTCACAACCATATCATCGTAATTGATCATCGTCAACTCATCGACAGCGATGATGATCGATGACCCCCCTGAAGATGTGTTAGGCCAAGTGTTGGTGAGACTCCCCGGGAAGTTGCTCTGGGAGATTATGATTTTTTCAAAATCATTGTTATATGATTGGTAGCAAAAGTTTATAAACTCGCACCTTGCCCTAAATCAATCGCCATCATCCATACGGTTAGTATTCCAAGCCTTCCAAAAAATGGGTTGAAAGTCTCAATTGTTATTATGTTGCGGGGGAATTCGATTCCCGCAAAACGGTAGTCTCCCAAGCTAACAAGGGTCCTACCCCCTTTTACTAGTCATGTCCTTGATGATTTTAGTGGTTCTTGTAACGGGTTGATTTGTTTGACGTACAAGGACTCTAGAAACCCTAGGGATTTCATGGTTGTGTTGTGGAATCCAAACATTAACGAGTATTGGAAGGTGCCTCATCCGTCGCCTCTAGCATCTGATAACAAAAAATCACCACAAGTACAATGTCGAATTCAGTTTCGGATACAATGAAATTTCTGATGATTACAAGGTGGTGAGACTTGTGAAACTCAGCAGTATTCGAGGGCACAAACTAGTTCACCAAGAAATTCAAGTTTATAGCTTATAGCCTGAATTCGAAGTCTTGAAAGAGCCTCTCTCCGCATGAATTAACGCAACGTTTCATTTGGATCGACGGCCGCGCGGTACTTGTTAACAATGCTCTACATTGGGTCATGCAACACAAACATAATGATGATGGTCGTGCTAATTTAATAACGTCTTTAGACCTTCACACCGACAAGTACCGCCCTGTTCCGTTACCTCGAGATCTTCCTTCCGAAGATCTTCATGAATGTTAGTTTTTGTCTTTGTGTGTAGTGTCCTGGTTTGTATTCTGCGCGTGCTGAGGGTCTATATGAAATAGGAATGGATGCCACGTGCACTGGAGCTGGTTCAACCTTTCTTTATGATCTTTTTGAAAGCGGGTAAGTAACTAAACTCCTTTTCCATTTGATTACTCGGTGAGTTTTTGTCAATTTCATCAACTCTCCTTATTTGTCCTTCTTTCTTTGTTGTGTTTTAGTCTCGGCAAGATGTCCTTTGATGAAGCTGCCAAGCAGGCTTAATAGCTGATTTCCGTTACTTCATCTCAACTCGCGCACTCCAAGAGTATCGGTGAGCCTAACGCTCAAAATGGTGGCTACGTAAGTGGATACTACGTCGGAGCTGATGAGTTGAAGAGGTGCTTTTGCAATTTTCCTGTTAGTCCTGGATTTTTTTATGCAAAACGTGTGATGAGATGGCCTCCATCTGAGCTGATCATGCATGATTCAAGTGATTGATAAACACATTATATTTGTCATTGGCAAAAACTATTGCTTAATGGCAGAATTCGATCAACTTATCTAACGAAGAAATTAAGTTAAAGGTAACATTTGAGTGTTTTGAAATTTGAATCTGTTGTGTTGTCGGAAGCAGGAAAGAGCTGCCATGTTCATATCATATGGAACATGAAAGTATTTAGAGAAGGCACGTACACGAATGTAATTTTCGTTTTTCTTTTCTACAATCAAGAAGACAATTGCTTTTTTTTTATGCTCCTTATATGAACCCAACCCTCATCCACCTCAAACAGATTCAATTTCGAATGTTCTAAAAGGCCGACTCACACCATTATCATCAGAATATGATCACATTCCCCGAATATGATGAGTGCCCAAAAGTAGCTGCTTGTATGGAGCTCAAAAATATTTAAATAGAGATGAGAAGCTTATTATTGGCTAGTTATGGGCATGATAGTATCAAGAGAAGGGAAAAATAAAAACATATTTCCCGAAATTAATATCCATTTTAAATTTTTTTTATTAGAAATTGAATTGATAGTAAAAATTCAAATTAAATAATAATTACGCGGCAACCAAGGTAGAACAAGACTGTCAACACAAAAACATCCAGGGTAAATGCGTAGGCCATCATTAGTACTATTCCGGAAAACCCATTGCTCATTATCAGCTTCCAACTCGCACCATCTTAAATAAGGGCCACCAATGAAAAGTAGCTTCCTAACAACATTACTACTACTATTACTTCTTCCATAAGTATATCGTAACAGTGTTGGAGTACTGGTTATGGAATGACCAAGATTCATAGTAAATTTCCTCCAAGAATCTGTATTACCATACTCCTTCATTATCCTCATATGACCATTGTTGGAAATGAGTGAATGAGAATTAAGTTTATCAAGAGTTGGAAAAATTAGAGTTAAGGCTAAGGGACTTTGTCCTACATGGGTATTGGGAAGAGTTGAAGCTCACTTTACAAGTGGAGTCTAAAATTGACTTGCAAGTTGACTTGCCAATACTATACCACATCTCTCCCGCTCGCGTGCGCCCGCGCAGGAGGGGTCTAAATGGACTCAACCTACATTTTGCTCCGGTTCAGATTAATTTTTTCCAGCTAAAATTTTAATGTGGAGATTTATGTTCATTGATTTCAGTCAAAGAGAAAACTGAAACATGACAATTGAATATTGCTGTTGAATGAGCAAATGAATGGCGGATTTAATACTGTTTAAATGGCAGAATGAATTCTTTTGGCTGTTTGATTGTCAAAAACGTTTTGGCTGTTTATGTGCCATGAATTCGTGACATTTAATAGAATTAAAACACCAAAACCGTTTGAAGTTTTGCTGCCGTTTCAAAGGTTTCTCCAGCATATAAATATGCACTCATTTTTCAAAGTTCTACACACCAATCCTTCCTCCTCTTTCAGTATTCTTTCGAGCCTTTCTTTTTTAGTGTTCATCATCGTGTTTTAAGTTTCATTCGCTGGTAGATTTCTTTGTGCTAAGTAGTCTCTACGTTTCCGTTGTATCCAGAGAAACAGTTGCTCGAGATCCTCAAGCACCATAGGAGAGGACAAATCTGTTTTAAGGAGATCGTGTTTTCACGAGACTCGGATTTCTTCTTCTTCCGGTTTTCCTTAGTCTTTGCGAATACTACCCATATTTCGACCAACACCCATCTCAGTGCCTTCCCGAGATCTTTCTTCCCAGTTCAACAAGGTCAAACACCCATCCAAAACACCCAATGTCCATCTCGGTTTCTTGGAAGGTCTCGAGGTAACGGAACAGGGCGATACTTATCGGTGTGAAGGTGTGAAGGTCTAAAGCGGTGATTAAATTAGTATCGTCATCATGGTGTTTGTCAAGCATGACCCAATGTAGAGCATTGTTAACTAGTTCCTCGGGGGGGCGGTCGTTGATCCAAATAAAATGTTGGGTGAATTCATGCGGAGGAAGTCTCTTCACAGAGTTTGAATTCAAGCTATAAACTTGAATTTCTTGGTCGACTACTTTGTGTCCTTCAAAACTGGTGGTTTTACCAAGTCTCGCCACCTTGTAATCATCAGAAATTGTCGTATCCGAAACTGAATCCGTCGGTGCCGTAATATTCTGGACCCGTCTCTTCTTCTTCTGTGACAGTAGAATGAGGGGGCTTGAAATCAGAGTCTAGAGGCGGCGGAAGTATCCAAAACTGCTGCCTAAAATTTGGGTTCCACAACACAATCTTATCAGGTAAGTCATGGCCCCTATAAGTGATACAGATCAGCCCGTTACAAGAACCGTTAAAATCACGGATACGTTTTTTTGTGTCGGTCAAAGGGAGTTGGACCTGAGGTTGGGATATTCTTCTAATTTTTCTGGGGAATCGAATTCCTCTGCAACGTAACATCCACCCGAACCTGGGTGTCCATCCCTTCCGAATAATGGTTGATTTCGGGTCGCATGAAACTTTATAAAACTCTTGCTGCCAATCAGAGATCGCCATGATTTCGAAAACAACTTAAGCTCCCAGAGTGACTCCGCAAGGAGTCTCACCAACACTTGGGCTAACAGGTCTTCAGGTAGGTGACTAATCATCGTCTCTTCTTCGTCAGACTGATTTTTTCATCTGATTTCCGCCGATCTGTTGATGTTCATGGAGTACGATATGTATGATGATGATTAGGGTTATTCGGAGATAAAAAGACTATATATAAGTATGGGCAAATTGGGCCATTATGGGACTAGGCCCAATGTAAAGGGCATGTATGATGGGCATATGCGGGCGGCGGCATGGCGGTAAGAAGCTTCGATCACCGCTGCGGAAGAGTTTGAAGTTGAGAATTAAGTCCACTTGCTTCCAAGTTAAGATTCTGACTACAAAGAACAATCACCACCGAATCTATGTTCTCTTGTGTATATATTATAGTTCCTAATTTTCCAGTCTCCCTCCACACAGCTCTTTTCTTTTCGTTTCTTTTCTTTTTACCACTAAGTAAGGCGTAATTTTATTTTATTTTTTTTTCCAATAAAAGAGGTCAAATGCCTAATCTTATAAACTAAGATAGGATACACTCCGTCAATGAACAATAATTTCGGAACAATTAAACTAATTAATTAAACTAAAAATGAAAGATGAATAATAATTTTGAGACTGTTATAAATATAAAGTGAAGAATAAAACTATAAAACTGAGAGAAAGAACAAGTAGGGAGAAAGAACAATAGAGAGGGAGAAAGAGATAATGATATGTGTATTATTTCTGCAGAGACGGCTCTCCCTTTACAAGCATAGCAGATACAGAGATAAGAGCAAATAGAGATAACATCTAAATGGTGATAATATCTAATAAATATTATCTCTAAATAAAGAATTCCTATATAACTTTACTAGCTTGTGGACATCCACATTATCAGATAATTATAACACTCCCCTTGGATGTCCATTTTCTAGAATAATGCCCCGTTAAAACCTTTACTAGAAAAAACCCAGTGGGATAAAAATTTAATAAAGGAAAACGAGTATATTTCCAAATATGGCGCTGCCTCGTTAAAAACCTTGTCAGGAAACCCATTGGGACAAAACCTCGATCAAGGAAAAAAGAGTACAGCGTGAGGAGAATCTCCCTCTGTTGAGCACATCACTTGACGTCTTTCAACCGCCGCATTCCAATATTGTGAACTAACTTATCAAAATTCGATGTTGGTAATGACTTCGTGAATAAGTCAGCTAAATTGTCACTTGAACGAATCTGTTGAACATTGATTTCACCATTCTTATGAAAATCACAAGTAAAGAAAAATTTGGGTGAAATATGTTTCGTTCTATCATCTTTGATGTATCCTTCCTTCAATTAGTTAATGCAGACAGTATTATCTTCAAACAAAATACTGGGGACTTTTTTCTCCAAATTTAATCCATAGGATCCTCGAATATGAGAAACAATAGATCTCAACCAAACACACTCTCGACTTGCTTCATGAATTGCCATAAGTTCAAAATGATTAGTCAAAGTTGCAGCTAAAGTCTATTTCATAGACCGCTGTGAAATAGTTGTTCCCCCACATGTAAAAGCATAACCAGTTTGGGATCGACCATTAGGAAGATCGAATAAATGCCCAGCATCTGCATAACCTATTAAATCAGGCTTAGATGTTCTTAAATAATAAAAACCCATATCTTTCGTACCTTGAAGGTAGCGAAATATATGTTTAATACCATTCCAATGCCTTCTTGTAGGTGAGGAACTGTATCTAGCTAATAAATTCACAGCAAAAGATATGTCCGGCCGTGTATAACTAGCAAGATACAATAATGCCCTAATAGTACTAAGATAAGTTATTTCTGGACCGAGTAAGTCTTCACCATCATCACAATGCCTAAAAGGGTCTTTATCCTTATCAAGTGTCCTTACAATCATAGGTGTACTCAAAGGATGTCCTTTCTCCATGTAAAAACGTTTAGCATTATAAGCAGACTGATGTAAAAAGACGCCACTTCCGGTGTGCTCAATTTATAAACCAAGACAAAACTTTGTCTTTCCAAGGTCTTTCATTTCAAATTCTTTTTTCAAGTAATTTGCAACTTTAGTGAGCTCTTCAGGAGTCCCTATCATATTTAAATCATCAACATAACTGCAATGATTACAATCTCATATCCATATCTTTTGATAAAAACACATGGGCATATTGGATATTTTACCTTCCTTTATCAGATATTCACCAAGGCGGTTATACCACATTCGCCGGCTTGTTTTAAGCCATACAATAATTTACACAATTTAATTGAATAAAGCTCTCGAGAACCAAATCCTCCAGGGATCTAAAAACCTTCAGGGATTTTCATGTAAATTTTGTTATCAAGTGACCCATAGAGATAGGCAGTCACAACATCCATGAGACGCATTTCTAATCTTTCACTTGTTACCAGACTTAACAAATAGCGAAACGTTGTTGCATCCACTGCCGGAGAATATGTTTACTCATAATCAATACTCGGTCACTGGGAAAAACCTTGTGCGGCGAGACATGCTTTATAACGCTCGATTTTATTTTTCTCATTTCTTTCTTGTATAAATACCCATTTGAATCCTACCGGTTGCACAGCTTTAGGTGTGCACATTATTGGTCCAAAGACTTTACGTTTTGCCAATGAATTTAATTCTGATTGAATAGCGTCTTTCTATTTTGGCTAATCATTTCTTTGTCTGCACTCATCTACAGACATTGGTTCTTGATCCTCATTTTCATTTATAATGTTAACTATTGCAGCATAGGCAAATTTATCGTCGACTTCTGTTGTACATCGGTTCCACTTTTGTCCCGTCATAACATAATTAATTGAGATCTCAAAACTTTCAGGTACCTGAACTTCTTTAGGAAGTTGATTTTCTGTTATGTCGGGATCTTTTATTGCCAAAGTTTCTTCAGGAAGCTTAACAACCCCGAATTCTCCATCTTGAGTGTTTGCTCTTTTTCGTATACGATGATTTTTATCTTTAGAACTGATAGGTCTACCACGTTTCTGTTGTGCCTTTAATTCATGATTTGTGGTAGAAGGTCCTTCAGGGACATCAATTCGGCCAGGAGCATTAACAGCTGGTATATGTGATTTAGTCACACGTTTTTAGTCAGTAAAAGTATCTAGCAATTGATTTGCTAATCGTTGTAAATAAATTATCTTTGGAACTTCTGGTTCACATTGCCTTGTGCGAGGATCAAGATAACATAATAAACAATTCATTCCAACTAATATTTTTAACCAACTGTTTACTTTAATCCCCTAATGTTGGAAAAACTGACTCGTCAAAATGACAATCAGCAGCCGTAAATAAATCTCCAGTTTTTGGCTCAAGAAATTTTATGATTGATGAAGATTCATATCCAACATATGTTCCCAACCTCCTTTGAGGTCCCATCTTTGTGCGTTGTGGTGGAGCAATAGGAACATATACCGCACAACCAAAAATTCTAAGATGGGAAATGTTTGGCTCTTGACCGAAAACCAATTGTTGGAGAGAGTATTCATGATAATTATTTGTTGGCCTGATATGATTTAGTGCTACGGCATGTAGCACAGCATTCCCCCAAGTAGATATTGGGAGTTTAGTTCTCATTAGTAAAGGCCTTGCTATCAACTGGATGCGCTTTATAAACGATTCTGCCAGACCATTTTGTGTATGTACATGAGCTACAAGATGTTCAACTTTAATCCCAATTGACAAACAATAATCATTAAAAGACTGGGATGTAAATTCACCAGCATTATCCAAACGTATTGTCTTAATAGGATTATTTGGAAAATGTGCTCGTAACCGAATCAACTCTCCAAGTAATTTCACAAACGCCAGGTTGCGAGTTGATAATAAAGATACATGGGACCATCTAGTTGATGCATTAATTAAGACCATAAAATAGCGAAATGGCCCACAAGATGAGTGAATCGACCCACAAATATTACCATGTATACGTTCCAAAAATTGAGGAGACTCGGTACGAATTTTCATTGGTGATGGCCTTATAATTAACTTGCCTTGAGAACAAGCAGCACAAGAGAATTCCTTGGCTTGCAGAATCTTCTGGCTCTTTAAAGAATGACTATAAGAATTCTCTAAAATTCTTCGCATCATAATAGAACCGGGATGGCCTAACCGGTCATGCCAAACAACAAAATCATCGTGGTTAGTAAACTTCTGATTTACCGTTGCATAACTTTCAATTGTAGTAATATATATCTAATATAATCTGGAGGAATATGAAGGTAATTTTTCTAAGACATTTTTATTCCCAACAACATTACTCGTAATACAAGTACTCAATGTTACCTTCACAACAAGTCTCTATGTGATATCCATTTCGGCGAATATCTTTAAAACTTAACAAATTTCGTTGAGACTTTGGGGAATATAATGTATCATTAATGCAAAATTTAGTACCTCCAGGTAGTATTATATTTACTCTTCCGAATCCTTCAATTAATTTTGTACTCCCGGATATTGTACTAACATGGGATTTTTTCAACACTATATGAGAAAAGTATTTTCTCTCTTTGAGTATTGAATGTACTGTTGCACTGTCTGCTAGACATATTTCTTTGTCATTGTTGATTGCGACATCCATTATCTTCAAAAGTAAAAGATTTTAAATAAGAATATTTTTCTTTCATTTAATACAAAAGTAAAGTAATGGACAATAAAATAAACATAAATAGGAAATGTTTTATTGAAATTCATCAAATGAAAATAAAATTCATTACATCAAATTCAAAATATAAAACCTATCTCTAAGGGAAAAAAACCTATCCCTGAAAGACATTTTCAGCATTGACTTCACCTTCAGGGTGATTGACAAAAAAATCAGTAACATCTAAACTAGCAAATTCAGTAAAACCATTGTCAACAAAATCATGGTTAACATCAATAACATCATTCTGGATGAAATTTGTCTCTATCTTTTTTTCTGCTTTCTTCAGTGATTCCTGATAGAGATCTGCAAGATGTTTTGGCGT